ATGTCTTGGTGCTTGCTTACTCCAGTCGAAACAAATTGCATATCCGAATGCAAGACTTGCTTTATTGCTCCAAAAATGCAATTGCTAGTAATTTATGTATCTGATTATTAGAGTTAAAGTAAAAAGAGAACTGATATTAGTCAGAGACCGGTAAGCATACCCATGTATTCGACAAGGGTGCCGAGGTTACTAAAAAAGGTGGCTGTGTCTGCAGCAGAATGGCGTGGTTTCCTCATTTCATGCAGAAGCAATTGCAGAAAAATCGACAGGAAGAGAAGGTGGTGGCTATTTAGCAGGCGTGAGAAATCATTTCGTCAAGTCCCTCCACATCGATCAGCTCGAAGCGAAAAGGCGGATCTGCTCAAGTCCCAATGGTGGCGTAGTTTTTAAAGTTTCTCTTCATTCTCCCTGCATTGATGTCTGGATAGCTAGAGCAAGAGATACAAGTCCATTTCTACTTAGTAAACAGCTTTGTGCTGAAGGCCATGCATAGGTAGGTTCTGGTGGAAGATGAATTCAAACGATTTGAGGATCTTCTACGCCTAGGTTCTTTGCTCTCCTTCCCACAGACGCGATTGATATTAGACGATACCATAGGGACAGTCAGTATGAGAAATGAGGTTCCTCAAACGGCATCATTGGGCATGACAAATGATCGCTCTTGTTGCTTCCATCTTATGTGAACAATAGTAAAGAGGAAAAAGAAAACACTCCTACGTCCAATTTCATATCGGCCACTTTTCTTGTCATCTTGTCAAAGAAGAAGGAAGATATAAAAGGAAATTCTCTGGATTTGCTTCTTCAACGCAATCCTGGATGTGAGAATTCCCTGCATGTTTCGCTACCTCCCTTATTCACTGAGTACCAAAATTATCCTCCTCTTCGCCTCACCTAACGCCTTACAAGGTGCGAGGATGAGGTGACAAGAATTCCGATATGCATGCATTGTGATCTACCACTTTATCTGCCAGAAGCCTTTCCTTTGCGCATGGCAATGTGGAGAGGCGGGTTGTTGGTCCCAACATCATGATTTGTGTCGTAGTTCCGTTTACTGACTTCAGTCAAGTCATGATTTTTATCTTGCGTCGACTGCATATGGAGGTGCTTCAGGCTCAATGAAGTTCAACAAAAGGCTTTGCTTTCTACCAGAATTCTTGGTTAGCACGAACATGGATATTTGCTTACCAGTGTCACCCGAACTTACCATGAATCGCTGACTGGCCAATTCAGCACTTCCATGCAGCTTTTTGTGAATCAACATCACCACTTCTCCCGCCTTATTCTTCATCGTAGTAAGTGGACCTACTAGACGTCCGTGGACGTCTGCGTCTGCCACAGCAGTCC